TTTGAGGGGAAAGGCGACTCTGAGGTTTATCAAATTTCATCCTGAAGTCATGGAGGAGTTCTGAACGACCATGCATTTGATGTCTCTTCTCCATGAATGAAGGAAGAGCCTTTGAGGTAGACAGAAGGGGTGGAACAGTGTAATACTTTCAGAACTCCCTCCAGGGTTCACTAGGGATTTCCAGAAGCAAATACAGAAGTAGCATGTTATTTTGTTTTAAGATAAAATAAACTCAAGGCCATTAAGTTATTATTATGTCTGATACATGTGACACCAGGCCCACCTGTGCCCTCAATCCCACAGACATTTAGAGTTAAAATTACTGTGCATACTTAATGCTACACGTTTTTGTTAAATATATCATTGCCAGAAATAATAGATGCCCTGGGACATAAACCTAAAATAACATGGAATTTTCTGTCAGGTAATCTTTAGTTTAAACTAAAAATAACCTAAGCAGTAGTTTATATAAACCTCAAGTATCGAGACTCCCAGCCCAGTGCTAGTTCATCAAACTGTAAATTTATGAGGCACTTTGTTAGCATTTTAACATTTTTAAAATAGATCAGGCGTGATCTATATTAGAGACAGGCTCTGGAAAGCCAAGAATCCCACTATTGATGGCTGGAACATTCTTCAGGGAAGTCCTCTTCTGAAGGCTGGAAGAGGGACGTGCTGCTGGTGGATGCAGAATCACTGACTGCACATTCAACTTTTCTGAGCACTTTTGTAACCATCCTGCGAATCTCCTAAGAGACCAGGGCCTCTGGCCAGGAGAGTCCAGAAGTGTGGGGAGAGGAGGCTTTTCTATTTTATAACCAATCTGAAAATCAGAGAAAACTTGGATGTGGTTTCAAGCCTAACATCCCTATGCCCATGGTGAGACTATCCTCCCAGGGCTTGGATCTCCTTGGGCTGCCATTTTCCAAAACATCCTTGTTGGGAGGGGCAGTGGGGAACCTGTCTGGTTCAGAAGATCCTGCCTAGGGAAGATGGAAGGTAGTTTTTCAAAGTGCAAAGATAGAATAATTAAATGGTGTATTGATTCTCCATAGATTGTGGACCAGGTTTGGAAAGGTGGGAAAGAGGTTTGAGGGAATTCCTGTAGGTAGAATTGGGATCCACTAAGGGGTTTAACCATTTCTGAAAATAAGATTGACTTGCACCTAGTTGGGGAACGTGCAAATTTGGTAACAGTTGACATGTTCTTCAAGCTACAACTCGTGAGGCCTTCTTTATTTGGGTCTGTTTTGGAAGAAAGGGTTTCTGTGATGGAGGACTGGGGAGGGGTGGGGGAAGGCCAGTGGAACTGCTGTGTAAGTTCCCAGATAATTTACCCAAGGACCCAGCTCAGAATCCCAGAACTTTAGGCTTTGGGGAAATCATTAATCTTCCTTAAGAGACAAAAGATTTCTTTCTCTTGGGCTGTTCCCTTAGTGTTTCATGACATTGTTATACATAGAACTTACTTGCTTCATTTCCTTCATGGGCAAGGTCATGTTCAAAATAGGGTCTCTGGTCTGGGATTCAGGTGAGGACTCTGGGGTCTGTCCATTGGAAGGAACATTCCTTCTTTCTGAGTAAGGACTGCCCTGCCAAAGCTGGATGGAGACAGAGCAGTTTAACCCATTCCATGTGCAGTAGTTACCCCACATTATAAAGGCTGAAGCCATTTTTCTCATGAGGTATTTCTATAATTATCACCATATGGGGATCCACGGAGGTCTCCAGGAGCAGAGGAGACCTCCACTCAGACTTTCTAGGTTCTTGACCACATCACAGAAAAGTGCAAAAAATAATTTAAGGTTGTGCCAGGTACAAGTACCAGATGAGCAAGAAACTTTTATAAAGGGAAAGTACTCACTTGGGAGTGGGAGTGTGGGAAGTCTCAAGAGCGTCAGTCACCCCATCTTGATCTGGAGTTTTAGCATTTATGGAGGGCCAGCAGCAAGGGGGCTATGCTGGAGGTGGAGTCAGGGCAGGGTTATGCAGTTTTGTACCAGTTTTCCTTGTGCATTGCCTTGGAATGTTCTAATTATGCTACTTCCTCCATCACATGTCTCATTAGCATTTTAAATCTCCATCCAGGAGGATGCATCTTGCTATTTTAATGATAGGGTCATTTATTGGTCACCACCGTCTTTATGCATATGCCCCCTACAGCAGTGGTTCCTCCAGCTGCCTTGGGGTTGTCCTGCAGTGTCGTTGCTTTTTCATCAGCCAGTCAGCAAGCTGCAGGCAAGGACTTGGGTACAAGGTCATGGGCTAGATTGCTCATGAGTTATTTGCTCTGTGTTCCAACAGTTTATGGGCATTTCTCTTTTGAGACTCAGTGTTCTCTCCATATCCTTAAATTCCTATCTCATAACTTCTACACATTTTGCAGACTTCATTAAAATCCATCAAAAATTTTAAGTCTACCTGTTTGAAAACATCATCACTAGTTTTATTTACTGATATCAAATCAAACCATACATTACATCTAAGGTAAGTCATTCTTGTATAACCTAAATGTACTTTAAAAAACATTCACTTCCCTCAAAACTTAATATGAGATAAATACACATGCATACATACATATACATATACATACATGTGTACACATACATACATAGCAGGCAGAAAAAAACTAAAAATCTGACTTCATTTAACATAGTGTTTTCAAAGCTCATCCATGCTGTTACATATGGAAGAATTTTTCCTTTTAAAGACTGTATAATATTCTATTATACGAATGTAACACATTTATCCATGCATCCATCAATAGACATTTAGATTGTTTCCACATCTTGGCTAATATATCTTTGATCCTGCTTTCACTTCTTTTGATTAAATATCCAGAAGTGAAATTGCTGGATCATGCAGTAGTTCTGTTGTAATTTTTTTGAGGACCCTTGGTACTTTTTCTCCATAGCAGTTACACTACACCATTAGGCATTCCAACCATCAGTGATCAGGCATGCCAATCTCTCCACATCATTACATGTACTTGTCTTTGTTTTTTTGATGACAAACATCATAAAGGTATGAAGCGATATCTCATTAGGGTTTTGACTTGCATTTCCCTGTTGATTAATGACATTGAGCATCCTTTCATGTACCTGATGGTCATTTGTATGTTATCTTTGGAGAAATGGTTAAGTCAAGTCTTTAACCCATTTTAAAATCAGGTTATTATTTTTTCCTGCTACTGGCTTATAGGAGTTCCTTATGTATTTTGGAGGTTGACTTTTTACAATACGGTAAGTGAAGTGAAACAATCATGGGAAGAACAAGACTTGTTGATTTCACTTACATGTGATATCTAAAATAGTCAGATTCATGGAATTGAAGAATAGAATGAATGGTGGTTGCCAAGGGCTGAGGAGAGGGCAGTGGAGAGGGGATGGATGAGTGGGCATCAAGTTTCAGCTAAGCAAGATAAATAGGTCAAGAGAGCTGCTGCTGTGCATTAAAACTACAGTGAACAATACTTCATTGTATGCTTAAACCTTTAATAGGATAGATATCATATTTGGTGTTCTTACCACATAAAGTTTTTAAAAGTAAACCTCAAAATAAAAGAAATATACTGAGAGTAAAAGTAAAAAAGAATGTATTTAAGGCGCAAAGAATGAATATCTTTTAAATAACTTTTTATTTCTAACAGAATTCTTTTTAAAACTGAAAGAAAATTGTTTTCCCATGTATTCCATATAAATCATCATTTTCTGTTGTCCACCAAAAAAAAAAAAAGACAAAAAGTGAGAAATTGCATTGAGAAATAGGACCCTCTTTATTCAGCAAAGCAATTACTGGAAATGTCTAAATTATTTTTATTGGCCAGAATTATCTAATTATTTCTTGGCTCTTCTTTTTACCTTAAGTGGATGGACACCTGACCTCTCAATAGGAGGATCAGCTGGGATTTAACCAGAGATGTTTTTCATTATTCTGCTGAGTAGTTTTTTTTTTTTTTTTTTTTAATAAGTACCTCTTCTCACAGGCTGGCTGTGATTTGACGCTATAAATGACAGCTGGTCCACCATTCTTTCTTCTTCTGGTCTATTACCTGCCACTTGAAAAGCAGCTAATATTTTTTACATGAATCAAAGCATGATTTTTTTTTTCCTCCATTGGGATTGTTGGCAAAGAATAGGCATCCTTACACACAGGAGGTCTCCCCTCTGGGCATCAAGAGTCAGCAAACTGTGCTCTCTGGTGCAGTAAACTGCATCTCAGCCCCTCGCAGTGATGGGACGTATATGAACTCTGGTGACTCATCGTTCAGATTACAGCCTGTGGCCCACTATCCATGCCTAGTCACGCATTCTGCTGTCTTTCCGGTCCAGATGGGCAGGGAAGGTGACGGGATTGATCTTGGTGGACCCAGGTATAGAGATATGAAAAACCAAAAAGCCACAGTTATTTATGAACTTGAAAACTCAAACCCATGACATTTGATAACTGAGTGTCTTGGGTGATTCCCACTGGCCCTTAGCACTGTGACTCATCTCCAAGAAATACCAAACACTTGAACCTCTAATGGAATATTTAGAGTAAGGAAGTCTGATGGTCAGAAGTTGAGAGTTTAGGGCTGGGCTTGTGGCTCAGCAGTAGAGCGCTCGCCTCATACGTGCAAAACCCTGGGTTCGATCCTCAGCACCACACAAAAATAAATAAGTGAAATAAAGGTATTGTTTTCAACTACAACTAAAAAATAAATATTATAAAAAAGGAGTTGAGAGTTTAAGAGCTATAATGTCAGTTAATTATCACACTTCATTTAAAGATTTTCATTTATTTATATTGTCTCTTTGTTCAATCAGTTTTCTTTCACTTTGTGAGCTAATCACCACTTTATTTCTCTGTAAACTCCCACTGTGATCTCTGTGAAAGCAGCTATCACCCTATATCACTTGTATTTAGACTTAAGTGTACTTAGTGTGCTTGAACCTGGACCTGGAAATGAGACACCTGTAACATAGTGTTCCTCTCTCCTCCTCCTTCTCTTTGGACAGCTTGGGGATGAACCATGACGATGACCACTCATCCTGTGCTGGCCGGTCCCACATCATGTCGGGCGAGTGGGTAAAAGGCCGGAACCCCAGTGACCTCTCTTGGTCCTCCTGCAGTCGAGATGACCTTGAAAACTTCCTCAAGTAAGCCCTTGAATCATTCTGTAGCATTAGTACAATAGAAAATTCTCCCAAAATGCAAAATGATTAGAGTCCTTTCAGCCTGAAGAGGTGGTCAGTGCAATATCCTATAACAGGCAAATGCTTCCTCCCAAGTGTGCATCTGATATGACATTGGACACCCAGCAGGTGACCATTAAATAATTATTCAATGATGGCAATATCAACATAGAGACCCTGGCTTAAAAATCCACTTCATTTCTTTGCAGTCCTGTGACCATGAGTGGACACCACCTGAGAGGTGCTCCTTGGGAACTGTATGCGGTGTTGAACACTCCCTGGGTGCTGAGGCTGCCTCCCTTGGTAGGGAGTGAATTTGCTGCAGGGTGGGTTTGCTCACCACCTGCTCATGTGGAGACAGGATGTGTTTATCTCAATGCTACTTTCTTCCTACAAGATGTCTACATCATTCCATTTTTACATTTTCTGTGGAAGAATTGCTCATCTAGTTTCAGATCCTTGTCAAACTGAGTGTACACACAAACTGTTCTGGCCATAGAGTGTTGAAACCTTGGGGCTTGGAACGGGAGTGTAGCTCAGTGGTGGTGTACTTATCTGGCATGCATGAGGTCCTGGGTTCAATCCCCAGTACTGCAGCACATACACACATACATACAACCTCCCTCTCTCCCTCCCTCAAGGCTGGCTTATAGCATTGATCTGTGTGCCCTGAGTACTTCTCTACTTAGTCATGTTAATCTGTAGAACAGAGGTGAGTCAGTGAATCTAACCTACATATGCAGCTTTACAGTCCAAGGTATTAAAGTACTCAGGCGATCTGGGGTAAAGTGGCAAAGGCATCGTCTGGGTCTTCTCTCATGTTTCCTGTTGATGGGGAAATTGCTTAAGTGGTAAACAGGCTAAAAAATGAACCCATTGGTTTTAATATGGTCTACTTCCCCTGAGTGTGTGTTATCATAGAATTTTAGTAAAATGTTATAGCTATGTGATGTTATTTGTTGTACCCAACAGAGTTGGTACAACCAGAGAGTGTGTTTTCATTTGCTCACATACACAGTGCTGACCCCACTGGTGACAAGTAATGTCTTAGTCTGGAGAAGATGGGCCAGCCTCAGCTATGTGTACTGGCATGCATGCAATTTTCAAGAATTTTGGCAAGTTACTGGGTTTTCCTTTTAATACCATCTGCCTTGCTTTAGGAATGGAGGGGGGGAAGCATTAAAGTATTTTTGACCCTCTAATCAAGCTTCCTTTTTGGAAATATACCTCTCATTGTAAGTAAGCATTTCTGTTCTGATTGAAATCCTGAAGTCCTCCATAGAATGTACCACTGGCCAGCCTTTGGTGGCAGCAGCAGGTGTAGTCAGGTGAGACAGCTGCCTTGTCCCCACAAATCTTTGAAAGAGAATTTGTGAAGTTGGAAATAAGCACTTTGATTTTATTTAAATTATTCTTGTTCTTTATTCATAGTAACTTTTGTCCAAAAACCATATTCTAAGAAAATATCATGGTCATTTATTTCAAAAACATTTTTTGTCAAACTCCCCATTAAAGACCCTTTGCTTCAAGGGTGTTGCTCCTGGGCCCCTCCTGAGTGGCCGGTTTCTTAATAATCCACATGCAGTCATGTGGGAACAAAAAGCAAACACAGCACAATCCACATGTCCAGTGCTGGGTCCTTCTCCCATAAATCACTTGAAGGTGCATCATTCTTTTTTTAATATTTATTTATTTATTTTAGTTTTAGGTGGACACAGTATCTTCATTTTATTTTTATGTGGTGCTGAGGATCGAACCCAGTGCCTCATGCATGCTAGGCGAGTACTCTATCACTGAGCCACAACTGCAGCTCGAAGGTGCATCATTCTTAAAGACCAAAAAATCAAAACAAAAACCTGAACAGTACATTTGCAAGTCAGCTTACCTCTTGGCTGTTTCAGGTCCAAAGTCAGTACCTGTTTGCTGGTCACAGACCCCAGGAGCCAGCATGCAGTGCGCCTCCCTCACAAGCTGCCAGGCATGCACTACAGCGCCAATGAGCAGTGCCAGATCCTGTTCGGCACCAATGCCACCTTCTGCAAAAACATGGAGGTAAGCATCCAGGGGAAAGCTGGCTCAGGAAGGGCCACTGATATAGGTATTCACACTTAACATGTGCATGTATGTGTACATAACACACATTCAGAGGCATTTGCACATATGTAGCGTAGATAGCCACACATGCATGCATGCCCACACTTGTGTTTCAGGTCCCTGCATACAAGGCAGTTTTGAAGGAGGATGCTTCAGGCTTTCTACTGAAAAAGAGAAGCCTAGTATTTTAGCATGAAAAATTTTGAATGCTAGAGAAAGAAGAGTGACCCATACTTCTTGGAAGTGATCTGACATCATCTGATTTCAAACTTTGCAAAGATAAGGAAGAGGACTAAAAACTGTTAAATGTTGGAGAATGTCAGATGGAGAAAATTTCAAATGTAATAAATCAGTTATATAATAGTGATAATAACCCTATTAAATAGCATTTATGGAGCAGCGTCTATGTGTCTGGTCCCAAAGTGTCTAATCTCCATGCTCCCAATTAGTTCTCACCATAACTCCCTAGATTCTATCTCCACATTACAGATGATAAGAGCAAATCAGACTAAGTAAGTGGCCATTCACAGTGTCTTGGTTAGTAGGTAGGAAAACAAGGATTTGAATCCAAGTGCATTCGCACCCAGAGCACACACTTTTTCACTGTGCAGCAAAGAGGGAGGCCCATGGCTTGGCTCATTCTGCAGATGGAGAGTACCAAGAGAAACATGCTGGGACCTGGGGCAGGATAGGTACCATGCCCATGGCCATCTGTGTAACAGCCACAGGAGGTCCAGAATGGCCAGAGAAGCCTGCATTCCAGTGGAACTCAGCTAGGGAGCACAGCCTGCCCCACCCTGGGGCAGAAGAATGACAGAATAAAGGAAAGTATTTAGAGATTTGTGGGGCTCAGGAGCCACCCAGGGGCAGGCAGCCCAAGAGAGAGCTAAGCACAGGGCTCAGGATAGCATCTAGTCCCAGGAAGGATCTGTGGAGGGCTGACCAGGAACTTACAACAGAACCCAAACCAAGGAAGACAGGTCCACAAGGGCTGCCTACAGAAGGAGGCCTCGGATCCTGGCAAGCCTCGACTCACAGGGAGTTCATGCTACCTCTTGAGGACTTCCTATCTAAGAGTTGGGGTGACATCCTGCAGGTGGGGTACGGCACTGTTTGGGGTATGAGAACAGCAGCACCTCAACACCCAGCTGGTACCGACTGCCAGCTGTTTTTCCCAAGGACACTTATCCACAGTGTTGTTCTAAATCCTCCTCTGCTGGTCCCCTGGGCAGTGTGATCAGTGCCAGGATTCTGACTGCCCCAGCAGCCTTCCATGTCTAATGCTCCTCATCAGCCTCTGCACAGCTTGACCATTAAAGCTCTCGTTTCTATATGTATGTGTCTGCCAAGAGCATTCAGTTTGCTTACACTTCATTTTCAGTCTCCAAAGTGAATCGATGATACAAATATCAAGAGAGCAGTTTTCAGGGGGGCCTTTGATGGTGTTAAGCTCAGTACAAGACCAACATGAGGATATATGTCTAGAACCCTCCCAAAGACACTGAGCATTTAGGGAAGACAGAAGGGCCCTCCCTAGGGTTGAGAAGGGGAGGTTCCCAGTGGATTCAGAGTGCCCAGTAGGGAGTCCTACCCAGCGCTGCTGAGAGGAGGCAGGTCAGAGGAGCTGGCCTTCCAGGGTGTAAGATTGAATGGATGGATCTGGACAAAGACCACCTTCCCTGCAAGCTGAGCCATTTTTCCCTCTAGGAGCCAGGTGATTGCAGGAAGTTGGGGTTGAGGAAGGGAGACACATATTGGGCACCAGCAATCTCCCAGGCTAGACTCTGCCCTTGCACTGTTGTACAGTACCCTAACTGCAACACTTAGGCACTTAGGGATGTAAGAGGATGGTCAGGAAGGAAAGCCCAGTGTGTCTATTACTGAGGGAGAGAAGGGAATCTGTCTTCAAAGACCCCAAGAGAGAGAAGGCTACATGATATTTTATTTTCCTTCATTAACATCTTTTCATTTAAAGAGGACAATTAGAGGTCGACAAATAATGAATGGTTAGGTCAGCTTTGTAGCTCCTTATCCCCTAGAGACTCAAAATGCAAATAAATTTGTAATGCGATCTTCCCATTTGTAAGATGCCATGAAATTGAACTTTTAATCCCACAGCTCCCCAGGAACTGCACCTCATGTTTTCTTACTTGCTTTTACCTTGAGTGTTGCACCAGTAATCAAATAAAATAGTGTTTTCTGCCCCAATAGCAGGAGTCATTATGTGCGGGGGGTGGGGAGAGTGAAGTAGTGGAGTCACCATGGTGGCTGCCAGCGTCTGCTAGTCACTAGTCATTGTTCCACTTGCAAGGACTCTGACAGTGAGGTGGCAGCTACTGCTCATGCTGGAGAACATGTCTCACTAATGCTTTTGCACTACCGTGGAAGGTCAGAGATTTGGGACACACTGCCCTGGGTCTGGGCTGGTCCTCTAAGTCAGATCCAGACCAAGATAACAGCACAGGTTTGGATTCCAGGGATCACAGTGTGGTCAGACTGCTCCCTCTGTGCCTATAGAAGTATGTGCTCCAGAATGAGTTCAGTGTGGCAGGATCACAGACGTCTTCTATTGCCATTCCTCCTTGCTTTCTGGAACAAGATCGCCGCGTTGCCCCCTACCATGTCGTTTCTGTGTTCCTCTTCACCTGCTCTGTTGCAGCTATCCTGCTGCCTTCCTGCAGCTCCCAGCGGGGTCATGCCCCACTGTATGCAGCCCCTTCCTCTGCCTGGCAGCTCCTCTCTTAGTTATCTACATGAATCATTCCTCATCTTTTTTGAGGAGAGATTTTTTGTAGTTGTTGTTTTTGAATGTAACCTTCTCAATGCGACCTATCCCGACTACCCTGCTTGACACTATGATCAGTAGCCCTCCTCTACCCACCCTTGCAGCACCGACTTCCAACTGACCCCTTAAGGGAAAGCACTGCTTCCAGATACTTATTTTTTTAACATGCTGCGTAGTGCACTTACTTATTATGACTGGTAATTCCCCTCTTCTAGATCAAAAATCTTTCAAGGGCAGTAATCTTAACTTTTGCTCACCAGTAATTTTCGACTGCCACGAGCAGTGCCTGGCACACAGTAGGCACTCAATAAGTATGTGTCGCTCTGGGATCCGGCCATGACCCTAACTGAACGTTTGTACAGTCCTGCTTGTGTGGCTTCACTCACCTGCTGATGAATCTGTGGACAGGCGCAGAGTTGAGAAAAAGATCCTTAGAGATCTCCCCATGAGATATATTACTCTCTAAACCTGATTGCACGGTTCTCCATCTGGTTCACTACCATAAAGGGTGAATCTGCCAGACGTCTTGCAAGGGTCCATGCAGACCACTCCCATGGCTCCCTCCCAGGACAAGAACCATTCAAGGAAGGGCAGTGAGTCTGGTAGGGAGTGAGTGCAGGCTGGTTCCTAGTGATTGTTTCTCTTTCTCTGTGCCTTGGTGTCCTCACTAGTAAAATATCAGGCTTCTGGTCAGTTAAGACATGTAAAGTGTAGAGAAATGGTTCTGTCATAAAGTTAGTGCCCAATATGGTGAGCTGATAGCTGTGTTGTTATTTTCTTCCTGGACAATGCCAGTTCCCACCTGTGGGAGACAGAACTAATCTATCTGTTCATTTATAGGATCCACGTTTTTCTATATTGAATTCCTGGGTGCTATGAAAAATGAAGCATCGTCTTAACTCTTCATTCCTCCTCATGTAGCCAGAGACACCAGAACCAATCAGTTCTTTTAATTCAGTGCCATAAGTGATTTTTGTAGTCATTATTGCCCTTTCTTTTCCTTGAGGATTGAAATGGATATCACGTTATGAAATGACATGGTCTCAAATATGCCTTTAAGTTTCTCACCCCAACTTCTTCTTCTGGCCAAGATGGAATGACAGGGGCCAGATTTACTCTCCTGTCTGAATTCAAATGATTGATCAATCAATCAAAAAATGAGTGATTTCTTAAGACACTTTACATAAAACAACAGAAGCCTGTTACCTTTGAGGGGAGCCCTAGGATTATTCTTGCTAACTGCCTGAAGAGCTTCCAGGCTGCAGCACAGGAGAACTGAAAGGAAGCCACAGTCTTCCTAGTAGAGGAAATGGAGCTGCTTTTACAGGGAACTGAGGCAACTAGGGTTCCTAAGACAGAGTACTAAAGAAAGAGCTGCCCAAAGAGAGACCCCCAGAGATGTGCAGAGGGTCCCCTCGGAATATGCCACTTACTGGTCAGTGCTGGTGTGTGGAAAAACTACCCCAGGGCAGGCAAAGAGCCATCTGAAAGGGTTAGAGGAACACTCTGAGGAGCTCACATAGGCATTAGATAGTGTGTGGCCTATAATTCTATACCCAGCAAAAATATCTTTCAAAAAATTGTTAAATGCAATTTTTTCCTGTTATAGAAAAGCTGGAAAAAAATCATCATGAACAGGCTTATACACTATAAGAAACATTAAAATAAAATAAATCTTTCAACAGAAAATAATACTAGATGAAAATATATATCTACACAAAGGAATGAAACACACTGCAAGTAGTAACTACATGGGTAAATATATGACGTATTGAAGTATACTTGAATGTCTTTTAAAAATTATTGAACATTTAAACAGCTGTTTTAAAATAAATAATTGTACTTGTAGTAGCTCTCCATGTCCGAATCCCCAGAATGTATGAATGTTATTTTATATAGCAAAAGGGATTTGCAGGTATGATTAAATTGATTATCTTGGGATGGGAAAATTGTCTTGGATGATATTATGGGCCCATTGTGTTTGCATGGGTCCTTCAAAAGAGGGAGACATGAGATCAAATCAAAAGGAGAGAGGAGGTATCATGATAGAAGCAAGAGTTTGGAGTGATGCAAGGAAGGAGCCACAAATCAAGGAATGCAGATGGCCTCGAGAAGCTGGAAAAAGTCTTCGGAAGGAATCAACCCTGCTGCCAGTTGACTTTAGCCCCATGGG